GTATTAACGTTCCTTATTTGTTAAAACAGAGAGGTGTTGATTCAACTTAAAATTATTTTTGACATGCTTCAGTTTATGGTGCTGTTCGCTTGTTTTGTGTTACATTGAGAAGAGAGCTGGGTCTTGTATATATTCCACTCACATTGATAGAAATGCGGTGGACAAACACTTCTTAGTTCAACACATTACAAATCTGAATTAGGGGTGTTGGTGGAACTATGTTCACTCAGGAACAGTACTTTGGTTTCCTAAAACCAACAGGTCGGCCAGTAGGTGGTGCTGTTGTGTAAGTCATTACATAAATCCTATGGAAGTTGCGCCAATTGAACCAAAAGTTGAAGACTGATCAGTGCACTCTCACTTCCAATGACTAAGGTAATGAAAAGATTCCTCTCAGCCCATATGTCCTTGGGAACACCAAGAACCTTTCTTGTTTGATTTATGAAAATTACTTTTTAAAGGCTAATCGTTACATATTTTTGTTCAGGTAGAAGTGATGAAAGTTGGTCAGTTTCTCAGTCCAAACCCTTGATTTAACCACAGAATAGTTGCCATGAAAAGTATTTTCAAGGTCCTTTAAGGGTAAATGCTATTTATTTAAGTGATTCGTTGAACTTTCCTCTACTATGTATATCAGACCAATAGTACAAAAGATACCTTAACATCAAATTGACGGTTATAAAGTGTAATTAGCATTTTCGTGTTCCCTTGCGAATGATCACTTTCCTCCAGTGTAACCGTCAAGTTAAGTTATACTAATTCAATAAGTTATATACTAATTCAATTGAAATGATAACAATTTAAAATCTTGCATAGTGTTATTTGAATATTTTTAACTTTTGATGTAACATTTTAAGAAATGTGATACATGTAGCTGTAAAATGAAACCCTTTAAGAATCTTGATTAACCAATAAAGTGCTAAATAACCCCCTGAGCAAACCAGGCAGCTACTGATATTATTGATTCATTTCTAAGTTTCATAAGGCCTGAGCCGAGCCGAGCTAAGAGCTGAGTGTTTGTGTGTGTGTGTGTATGGGTCAGCCTCGGAGGAAGACCATAGTGACAGCTCGTGTTTCGCCTGTATCCTGCTAAGCCATGGCGAGGAGGGCATGATCTACGGGACAGACGGAGCCATGCCCATCAAGTCCATGACCTCATTGTTCAGGGGCGACATGTGCAAAAGCTTAGTCGGAAAGCCAAAACTCTTCTTCATCCAGGTACGGAGTTCTGAAGCCTTTTACTAATAAATGACGGTGTGATATAAAAGAAAGTGTGGCAGATTTGTCGAAGGTGTCACTTTAACAGTTCTTAAAGTGAGAAGTCAATGTCTTCTAGGTGCTCCCCACGGACAGATGATAGCTTTTGTGTCAAATCTTGCCCGCTTTTAAAAACAGTTAATTTGTAATTGCTTCACCAGGCCATCGTTGAGAAAGCTACTCAGGATCACAATGAAATGTCATTTCATTTACTTCACCAGGCTTGCCGGGGTTCTGAATTTGACGACGGTATACAGACAGATTCGGGTCCGCCCAACGATACCCTGGAGACTGATGCTAATCCCAGACATAAGATCCCTGTGGAGGCAGATTTCCTCTTTGCCTACTCCACTGTGCCAGGTAAATATCAATAAATACTTGACTTGTGTATCTGTCACACACCTGTTCTGTGGTTTCAGTGCTGACTCATGTTGGTGTTGCAGGGTACTACTCATGGAGGAACCCAGGGCGCGGCTCCTGGTTCGTCCAGGCGCTCTGCAACGTCCTCAACGAGTTCGGCAAGCAGCTGGAGATAATGCAGATCCTGACCCGGGTCAACTACATGGTGGCCACCAGCTTCGAGTCCTGGTCCGAAGACCCCCGCTTCAGCGAGAAGAAGCAGATTCCCTGCGTGGTCTCCATGCTGACAAAAGAACTGTATTTCAACTGAGCGCACTGTATGACATCACAGACTGACCGACTGTTTCAGGTACCGCCTTAACAGTCAAAGCATTCAGGGATCATTCAGGCCCAGCAGGAGATAGTTGGGCCCGAAAAAAAAAAAAGCACTCCGCTTAAAAAATATATTTAAAGTGGCACTCCGCGTTCATGTGCTGATGGTGAAACTTATTCCTCTTCTTCAGGTTATTCTTCGGGAATAACGGCGTCACATTTGAACTGTTTTTTTTTGACAGGCATGTGAAATGTGAAATATCAATGTTATTCCACCAGCCCGGAAAATGTGCTGCCACTTTTTGTGGGTTGGGGGGAAATCATATCTGAATATGTGTCTCTCCATTTTCCAGCATAGATTTTGAAAGGACGAGTAGAAGGGAAGGCTTCAGGCTCTTGCATTTATTACATGAAATGGGTTTTGAATAAATTAAATAATTTGCATTTAGGGTTCTGAGAGAAGTCTCTCCAGAAATAGATTATATCCTGTCTGAGGCAGTCACCATTACAACGTTGAATCCAGGTGAATGTTTAAAAGCCTATAGAAAGTGTATTGAATAGAGTGATTGATTAAAAAATCCTTTGATTGCCATAGGAGAGATGAAGGAGCCTCTGGAGGGACATCTGGAAAATGGATCAGATCATTTTCAGCTATTTGTGTTTCCACGTTTTCAGCTGTCAATTGTCAGAAAAACAGACGACAAAAAAGCAACACTCCTCTGAGCAGAAACGTGACGGTGCTTTTTGCCAAAGGCTCGGTGTTTCCGCCTTCCTAGCGCGTTTCTGTTGGTAGCTGCATGCTGGCATCCTCAGGTTCTTTAATGTCCCAGGAAGTGGATAATGTAATGTTAAAGAATGTCATACACGTACTGCTAGGAAGGTGTGATCTTTTGCTGTGTAGTGATTAGTTCTATGAGATTTTGGGTCAAGTGCATAGTAAATAGTCCACTCCCACAAAGATTATTTGCAATTAGCCAGTTTTTTCTCTGCCTGATGTACTTTACTTGCTTCTTTTTTTTAAATCAGAGTAAGTTAAGTTTGTGTATTTGAATATCATCAAAATGACTGTCTTTTAAGTCAGGGTCCAACACATCAGTTTATGAATTTCCCTCATTTAATCTTTAAAGTTAGACATTCCTTTTTAATAACTTTATTAAATAATAAGATACATGCTGTAGGTTTGTTTACACTAGCACAAGAACTTGAGAATGTGAAAAAAGAAAAAAGAATTACAAGTAAATTTGGGAAATCTCATAGTGTAAGGCTGGACTAGGGCCCAAAGCACAAATGCCACATAATTTCACTGTATATTAGTGTTGTACACTGTCATAACATACACTTCATCCTGGTTACAGTTGCCTAGCAATGTCTTCCTATTCTTTTTTTAGTAGATCTTTGAATTAGAAATATTCAAAGACCCAAGTCAGAAAGAAAAACATATATTATTTTGAAGCACTTAGTGCACCCTGCCAAGTTTTTAAAAAACAACACAGCTTCATTGAGTTATTTTCATTGAGCTATAGGGTAGAATATAATATTTTAAATATTATAGACATTTGCTGATGGTCATTACAACTTACACAAAGTTTGTTTCTGCAATTACGCTGTGTTATCGTGCCAACGTCTGTCAGTCACAGAGGCAGCTATTACTGGTGGTGATAAGTCTGAACATACACAATCCACATGTCCGCAATACACACTCTCTCATTGTTGCTGCAATGTTTTTACATTATTCACATGACTGCATGTGTCAGTGACGAAAAGTTCTGCAATATATCTTGATCTGTCATTTTATTTTCCCTTTCACTCCTTGTATTTTGTATTATTTTAATCACACTTTTCAATCATATTTCTAGTTGCCAGGAGTGTGATCAGTAGTGGCTTCAGTTAGAGACACGTCCTCTTTATACCCAGTGCACTTGTCCAATCGAGCGATGTGGTGCCTAACCTGTGCTGAAAGGAGTGTTTGCTCCAATTGTTTTGGATTGGAATTTGAAAGAGGGAAAATTATTTCTTATGGGTACATTTGAAATGCTTTCCTGTGTTAAATGCTGTTGTCCTCAGGAATATATTTTTAAAAGATTTGGAAAAATGAATTACATTGAAACTATAATCTGGCCCATTTTTCTTTTCTAATTTGGGGCACTATCTTGTTTATACAATCTTCAAAACAGAGGAATGCTTATGTAAACATTTGATTGTAAAAAACATAAAGACTTTATTCTCTAATGAGTTGTGTCTCATTTGTATTGCACGTTCATAAACACAAAAAAAGATTGAAATGCATGAATGGGTTTATTTATTTATTCTAACACAAAGAAGATGTTTGCAATCTAATGAATGGACTGAGAAGATTTTTCAACAATCAAAAGGCAATGGATCAGGCTGATGTTTTCTTTGTCTTTTTCCAACAAATATCACTCAAAACTGTTTTAATACTCACGCACCAAATGTTTATTCATATACAGAGAATTGTCTCAAAGAAATACACTAATCAATAATGTTTAAGCAACATTTCAGTAAAAAAAAAAATGTTTAAGAAAATGATTTTGTCCTTTTTGTTATTAAACAAGTATGTGAGACATTTTCTAAAGGTGTATAGTAGAAAGTTCAAAAGTGTTGTCAGATGACTAAAGCATAGTCAGTTTGGGTATTTTCATTGTATTTATTGACATTACATAAATATATGCTTTGTGTTCAATTTGTGTTTAAAAGCAGATCTATTTTAACAAATTATTTCTCAATCACAGAATCCTGTCCTTTGTAAATCAACAATTCCCTGATTGATCATGTCATAAAAAACGCTTTGCAACAGTCAGAGGATCAGCTCTACCGTCATGTTAGCTTTGGTGTGTCCACTATAAGGAAAAGCATGAATGACTGTAAATGATCTGCATGATCTTAAATAGCTTAAGCTTTGAAGTTTCCAAATGTTGATTCAACTGTCACGCACTGTGCGCATCTGATGCCATGTCACAACACAAGAATGTAAATCAAGAAGCTGATGTTCATTCCCCACAATGCGACATATTCTTGGCAATTACTTCCCCCTGAGGAGTTCCCGCTCCACTTCAGAGAACAGGAGCTGACCGGGAAACATCACAGATATTAAGAGACTTCCAGTTTGTGCCTTCATTGTCGTGGCCAGGGCATAATGCCGGATGTAGGGTGTCCCTGAAGGTCCCAGCGCAGAAGCAGTGCAGCGGGGTCATAGTGTCCGCTCCTAGAAAGCACACCACCCCCCCGGGGAAGCTACAGTACACCCCGATGCGAGTGAACTGTTTTCCTGTCAGTAGAGGAAGTTTATGCTGGACTCCACCGTGCCAGGCTGTGTAGTCTCCATTAAAGTACTCCACGCACCAAGACTCTTTGCCCCGGCCCAGCCACGAGTCCTCCTCTCTGCCTTTTCTCGGGATGCTGGGGTAGGTGAGCCCCAGCTCCCAGTAGGTCTTCCCCTTCACATCCACCTCCCAGTACTGCTGGCCCTCGCTTAAGCCCTCCCTGCTGATTACATTTAAGGTGGTTTCAAAACGGGAGGGAGTCTCTGGAACGTCCTGCCAGGTCTCTGTGAAGGTGGCTGAGTCGCCTTTTGGAGAGATGATCAGCTTGGGGTGAGCAGTGTCAGCGTCCAGGACAACATCTGCAGCATCTGTGTAACCAGAGACATTCAGTGACTCGTGTGTCCTCATACAAAGAGGTTGACAAGAACGGCATGTACTGATCGACAGTTTCCAGTGACATAGCCAGAAGCAATCATTTACATCTCAATCCACATGCTTGTTTTATTGGGTTCACTCACAGGTCTGAAACAGTTTCTTGGTGACGGGGATCTGGGATCTGATGAACAGCAGCAGGTTGATAGTGAGACTCAGAAGTTGTCCGCATTTGAACTCATCCATCTGAATCCGGTCCGGGTCAGTCAGCTTCAGAGTCTCAGATATTCTAATTTCAGAAGAAACAATAAGTTGATGATTCATGCACAGCTTAAATGTATGTTCTTGTCAATCTAATTTTGTAGCAAGCTGTTTTTTCAAGAAATGTCAACATACTTTTTCTCTGTTTCAGCGTTCTGTATAAAATGAAGAATCAATCATTACTGATCTTAATCACGCTGACAAAAAAGCTCAAGACACACATATAGTAGGTAGGTTGACCAGAACTGTGAATTTGTGTTTACCTGAATGTCAATTTCTTGTGTTTTTTCATCAATCTTGGACAGCTCCTGGTCCAGTTCCTGAGTGAGGTGGTAGCACTCCTCAATCCTGTCCTCCACATACTTCTCTGTAGCCTCATACTCGGTGTCCAGCTGGGTCAGGGTAATCCGGAGATCCTCATCCAGGACCCGCTTCATGTCCTCGTACTTTTTTCTGATTTTCTCCTTCACCGCATCTGTCTTTTTCTGAGGTGAGAGGGCCATGTGAGTTCAAAATGCCTAGTAGCAATTATAAGCAGCAACCCCTCACTCTGAGAACAACTGATTTTAATAACTGTCCAACACAGTATCCAATTAGTTGAAGAATATAAACATATATTAGAAAATGGCAATTAGTATTAATTCACATAAAAATAATAATAATCTATATATAATCACATCTGAAAGAATGTGAGAAAGACAGCAAATCCCTACAATTAAAAATGTGGAACAGGGAATTATTTCATATTTTTGTTTGAATAATAGAGGTTTCTGCCCAAGGAATAATCTTACTTAATTGACTTGAATTCAATGATTAGGAAACAATTAAGTTATCAACAAAATCAGTTTTCATATATCACAGTCGACAGAGTGCAATAAACAAAAAGAAACCAGGTTATGTAGGTTAAGAGAAAAAGGCTTTGTTAATGGAAAGGCACAGGACAATGGAACAAGGAGGACTAAAAAAACTACAAAAAACAGATAAAGGATATTGTTCAGCAGAGCTTTTCCGAAGTCAAAATTAATTTAACCTTGCAGGGAGAATTCTGCGGTAGCACAAGGACAGGCTCTCTGTTAGCCCAAATCGAATCATAAAAGTTTTTAAAGAAAGCATGAACTTACAAATCTCATCTCTTCAGTTCACAAAGGACACACTGTGCATTTTTAGGAAGATAATGTTCACAGAAAGTGACTGTTTCCAACAACCTTTATTAAATTATATCTTGTCTATGAATTGTATGAGGTGCATGCTTCCAAAAGGCCACCATGTGTGATTTTACAGGTGATGGTCTGCTGACCTGCTGGCTAACAGCAAAAAGAAGGTGAGAAATAAGTGAGTCATGAGAGATGTCAGCAAGCAAGTTGTACTGTATTGTATTTCAACCGGGTTTAAATATATTGGACTTACTGTTATCTCCGCCTGTTTAGCTGCCAGCTTCTTCATTCTGTGAGCGATGCCATCTCTCTGTCTCTGCAGGCGCTGCTGATGTTTCAGGAGTAGTTCCTTTGAAATACATGAAGAAAAGGATCAAATAATGCAGGTAAACGAAACAAAAGGCTAAGGTTGGTGGGTCAACAGTGCTTTCCTTCTCAAAAAGAAACCAAATAACCTAATTTCTTACCATTTCTGGACAGTATAGGGATGTAGAGTTAACTCCACTGACCGGTGGCCAGACGACCATGAGGGTTTTTATAGGCCTGTCACAGATGTAAATGCTATGTCAGGGGGGAGGGGGGGGCACAAGGTGGCCTTGTAATATCTGTCCTGGTGCTTCAAGCATTCGCCTTGGTTTATTAAGGAGACAATATGACCCTAATTTACAAGACAAGAGGAAGAAAACAAGGTTCCTGACAGAGAAGGGCAAACGGCCATTCACATTTTCCGCTTTGAGAAAGAGTTATTCCATGTCCTACTAAACAAAAAGCCCACAGGAGCTCTATTTATACCGACCTGACACTGACCTTGATGTTTGTATGTGAGCATGTGTGTGTGCGGGTGGCCTACATGAACACAGGAAGTTTGTGAAGTTTATGAGACGTTGATCTGGCTTTTGTAGCTCATGTATAATTCATATAGAGTGCTTTATTGCAAGAACACAAAGTGATTGAAGTGCATCTTTACCCTGGGGCAGTTACATTTGCCTGAGCTGATGCCTGTTTTAAATGCATGACCCATATGACCTTTTACGTGCATAGCACAAATGGCACATGCATAAGTAAAAGCAAGGAGAGGTCAAATGCTGGCAAACACATCTCAATCTGAGTGCTATTAACTGATCACACAGACTGACATGCTCATTTGCAGGTAGATTAAAGAATCAGTGACAGCTGAAATAGAAAAAGGACTATAAAGACCTGAAATCGGTATATCATTTAAATGTTGAATTTAACTTCCAGAAAGATAATCAGAAACGATTCGCTTTACAACACCTTGCTTATTTCTAATTCATAAAAACACATGCTCATAAAAAACACGTCTTTCTATTTTATGTAGGACATAAAGACAATTAGGTTAGGATTCTATTTTGCAAATTTGCTGGCATGAGTATGGTTCTTTGCCGGTAAGACTTAAGTTAAGCGTCTTAAAATAACAAACATTTATTTCCTACTATTTTAATTGTGTCTTGTCAACGTGAAATTTGAGCCTAAAAAACTTAAGTTGGCACAGACTGACTTTCTGTAAATCTCCCATCTACTATGACCTGGCTCAACTCTCTCTACATCCTACCAAAACTGTTGGTACTAAATGACCTAAATGCATGTCCATAAACACTAGTCAGTCTTCAAGAGATATTTATCATGTGCATAAATATAAATCTCTTGGCATTCTCTAAGCGTCTCAAATTCCCAATCACTTCATCACAAAGACATTTCGCGGCCTGGAATTCTGCAGCTCAACAATATAGGTTTCCTTTAAAAGAAGCAAGGAACCAGAAAGTCCAGTTCCTTGTTCTCGTCAGACTTTGCCAAGGACAATAAAGCACCCAGTTTCCTGAACACTTGTTGACAAAGAGAGCGAGGGTGCAGAATCTGGTACACCTGAGGTAAGAATCTTATGTCTGTTTTCCTGTGAAAAAAACTGTTATCAGTGATTCATGTGACATAATTCTTATTTTGTATTGATTTGTGTTGTGAACTTTAAAGTTCATTTGCCAGCACATGTTTGTTTGTGTTCAAAAGTGAGTGTTAAATTCTGTTAACATCGAACAAAAAGTATGATGAATATTCTTTAGTTGTAACACTGCTGAGATTCTGTTTGTTTATACTTGTAATCTTTTTAATTAATGCCGATTTGGCTTTACAGGAAACATCTTTTAAATATGATATACTAATACATTTTATTTGTAAAGCACCTTTCATTACTAAAAGTAATTTTAACCTGTTTAGCCCGAGAGCCTGCAGGTTTTATTTTCACGAAACTCTTTCTCAGGGCTTCTTAATATTTAAAAACCTATTAATGTGTCATACCCAGTGTTGGGCAAGTTACTTTTAAAAAGTAACTAGTAATAGTTATAGTTACTGCTCTCAAAAAGTAACTAGTTACTTTATTAGTTACTCAATTATAAAAGTAACTAGTAATAAGTTACTTTACTTTAAAAATAATAACAATAAAAATACAAGTTTTTGTGTTGTTTTTTGCTGACTAGTTCTCTGAAGGCAACAGACTCGACCGTTGTGATGGGCAGCATGTCCTCAACAACATACCTGGCAATCAATCTGTTTAGTTGACTCTGGGTGACATGTGGTGATTTTAAAAAAATCGTTTTTTGGCTGTTTAGATGGTGTTGCTCCATCTGGGTCACTGCCGGTGGTTGAGACGGTGGGGTCTTTGGCGACTAGTTTTATAGCCCCATGCAGGGGCGGACTGGCAATTGGGAATACCGGGAGTTTTCCCGGTGGGCCGGTGCTGTGTGTGGGGCTTGGCAGGGAAACGGGGGTTCAGGGGGGAGTGGCTGTACGGCTGTACCCGTAGGATAGAAAAGGGGGAAGTGACGTCTGACTCAGAGGTCGCGCGGCTGTGGNAAAAATTAACAAACTTTTTTTTTTTTCTTTGCCTAAATCCTACCGGCCCACATTTGTTAGTGTTCCGGCCACTCCCTTATTATTTTTGTTTTGCTTACCTAAATCCTACCGGCTAGTACAGGTAGTAGCTATTACAAATGTAACAGGGGGTGTGGGCAGGTGGTGGACCTCACCACCTGACCTCACCCCCTGTTACATTTGTAAGTTT